ATCTTGTCACTAACTATGACAATCTTGTCACTAACTATGACGATCTTGTCACTAACTATGACGATCTTGTCACTAACTATGACGATCTTGTCACTAACTATGACGATCTTGTCACTAACTATGACGATCTTGTCACTCACTATGACGATCTTGTCACTCACTATGACGATCTTGTCACTAACTATGACGATCTTGTCACTCACTATGACGATCTTGTCACTCACTATGACGATCTTGTCACTCACTATGACGATCTTGTCACTAACTATGATGATCTTGTCACTAACTATGACAATCTTGTCACTAACTATGACAATCTTGTCACTAACTATGACAATCTTGTCACTAACTAGGATGATCTTGTCACTAACTAGGATGATTTTGTCACTCACTAAGATTAAAGGGGTTAGTGTAGAAAATGAAGACTTACATTCACATTTGTTGTGCCAGGCAACATTTTAGTCACAGATGTCTCTCCTGAAGTTTTTGTTTTTATGTTGCTAATTGCAAGTGTTTGTGTGAACTAGTCTCCCTACGTAATACTGCATGTTTGTTAGGCAATGCAGACTGTACTCTGATTTAAACTGTTGAGTAAATGGTGGTGTGGTGTACATGTGACACATGAATGGCCTCACTGCTTACCTCAGTAGTAAGGTAGGATGTGCAACTGCAATTTTTCTCAGTGCTATATTAGCATCATTCATCTTGGTTTCACAACTTCTACCAGATTTAGTGTCGGCCAATGTTGACAATAATCCATGAGTTATCACATCAAACTGAAATAAAAACAAATAAAAAAATTAACTTTAATCTCATGCAAATAACCTTAATTATTAATTAAGAAAGGTACAGTAAATAGAGCAGAGCATGTTACTGAACATGATAATTGTACAACTTTGAATAGATCAAAGCATCTTACCTTGCTAACACTGTTGCTAACTGTAGGACAATTACGGACTAATAAATTAGTGTCTATAATATTATGTAATAATTCTGGTACTTGTAGATATATCTCTAATAGTAGAAGTAATGATGTATTGGAATCACAGCTACTGAAATGAAGTGATGAAGATTATTTAGTAACAATACAAAGAATATCTGATATATCAGATATTAAACAGAAACAATGCAGGACACATAAGTAGGGTAAATCAGCAAACACTCTCATAACCTGGTTGTAGGGTTGGTCAACACACACTCTCATTGTGCATGTGAGAATGTTGTTGTCCAGTAAATGGTTCGTGTTAAACCTTTGAATCCATCAAGTCAAATAGCTTAATGTTTAAAACTGTTTTTTTTCCAGCAAAAATGTAAATATAATATTGACCACATAGTAATGTGATTTCTGTATTTGTATGTTCAAGGTTGGCCAATAGACAACCAGTTTTCATGTTTGGTTGTTCCTTGCAAGAGGTTGCCTGTGACAAAACAAGACAATTTTAAAGCCAGTTTAAAACCCAATCATCATTTATAGCAGTTTAGTTTAATCAGTTAGATATTAATAATTGCGTATAAACAAAAAAACTAAGCCTATTCCAATAAATGGTTTCACCAATTCAATTAAACAGAAAATCTGACGGAAGAATTTCAGACTTAATCCATCATTCCCCAATACTGATTCAATAAAATGCATGTAAATAGAATAAAAATTGATGTTTATACTGACCTATTACTTGTTACATTTGCTAACAGATGCTCAACAACACTGGTAATAAGTGCTTTATTACCATGGCAACAGTTGATCACTAATGCTAATCTGAGTTGTATGACTGAAGCATTATCCTTTGATCTGCTCTCAGTCAAGACAAAATCTATCATACAACAGATTTGCTCTTTGGTTAAACACAGAACATCTTCCTGAGAGTGTTTCTGAAAATAAATTTATGTAAAAAACATTGTTATTATTAACCTCCTAACACAAAACGAAATATTTGTCATCTTTCACAAAAAAATAATTTCCAAAATATTTGATTACGATCTGTAAACAAGACTCAACCAAAACCATTATGGTCAAATATAGTACACAAGTATTAAAATTGTGCATTTTTGAGGAAACCCGCCATGTCTTTTAGTGACTTTGTCAAACAATGAAATATTGGGACGGTATTTAGCATATTAACTACAAATGTGCATGAAACAGGTATAAGACAAGTTTGAATGAAATTGGTCAATGCATGCCCCAGAAAATGTTAATGACATGTCCAAACGATGATTTTTGGGACTATTAATGGCTGTCAGTTGAAGGTTCACAAAATAAAAACAAAGCGATATCTTGCCTTTGTACTAAATTTAACCCAAATCTGTACAATCATCTATGTAAAATGAGCAGAACACTTTGGAATCAAATCATGAAAAAAATGACATGCATCAGTAACCAACCATGACTGATGTCAATGCCATGTTTGAATGAAATCGATCAAGGCATGTCCAGGAAACGGTTGATGACATGTCCAAATGTTGATTTTTGCTCAATTATAGTACCATATATAGTTGCCCATATCAACTCACTAATTAGTAATTCTGCTACTGAAATGACCAAATATGGCAATTCAAACGACTAAAAGTGCACAAATACCTTAGGTACATTGGTCTCTCTTCCTTGCCATATCTTAGGTATATGTACACAGGCCCATAAGAAATCTAAAGCAATACTTGCATTAATACTGAAATTAAAGACAATTTATTTTGAATTATTTGTGGCTGATACAGCATAGTAATAGGAAGTGGTCGGTGCAGTGTTCAAGCATTATGGTCAAATATAGTACACAAGCATTTGAATAGTGTATGTAACCTTTTCATCACAAATTCACAAAATATTCCTGTTTATAGTCTGCACTTTCCTTCAGAAGATTGAGACTTGAATAGCCAAATTTTTTTAGTAAAATCTGAAAATTGTTTCCTATTTTTTTTCTTAGCTTCAAAATTAGAATTCATTTCCTAAAATATTGAAGGATATGAGAAAAAAAGCAGAAAAATTTGGTCAAGGAAGTCTGATGGTTAAAAAGATAAAGGGTAGGCTGGGAAATGTTGGAGAATATAAATTCTTTGCATGACAAATGTTTTTTTAATAGAAAATAGGCAGAGGATATAGGCTGGACAGACAGGTTGAATTATCTCAATTGCTAGGACACCATACTCCCAACCTAAAATCAAATGTTTGATAGTAAGGACATTTATAGTGCTGAGTGAGTGACATCAAATCCAAAAACCTCCCAGGGTGCAATGTACTAAACCTCAGTACTACCACATCCTGTTAAAAGTGGTGATGTTGTAAAGATCACTGTACCTGTTTATATTTTGTCTTGGTTTTAACAACCAGTTGATACATCTACGTAATGTCTTCCAATTAGTTTGGTGGGTCAGTAGCGCTAATAAATACGCACAACACAAACCATTTTGACCAGTCTGTGTTTTCTCAGTAAATAACAATTGTTGTTGTAGATCTGGACATGACTGGATAATCTCAGGATCCAGCAATTCTAACCAATCAACTAAGAGACCAGCAGTAGAGATACCAGATCTGAAATCAATTTTTATACTACCGTATACAGTATTATTCCTGAGAGAGACTGACCTGGCCGGACTACATGTACAACAAAGTATGTACTTTGGCAGTACGGGTCACATTCACCTCTGCCAACATGTTGATATGATCACTGTACTGCCTTTGTACATACTGTAAAGGGGTTAATTATTCACAGGGTTTTAATTTTGCTTATTTTGCTGACTGGAAAATGAGCTAAATTAAAACCCAGTGAACATGTAAAATTTAGCATAGAATCATAGACCTTAGAAAGAGAGGGACAGGCAACTGAAATATAAAACAAAGGATTTCACCACATCCGGCGTGCAACGTGGGTTACTACAGTTATAAACAAATGACCAAGCTAAGGAAATTGTATGCCGTCACTCACAATCAATCGGCCGCGCAGTTTGCAACACGTCTTTCAGTGCTTGTGCTCATTACATCGAATTTTTAATTTCAATACAAGATCCATTTTTTTGTACTGGTTATTAGGTGACACTTATTATATGTTGAGTTACAATTTGTTTTTTTTTATCAGTATAAATTAACTACTCGGCTGATTTTATGTGCGGTGACAAATGGTTGACTAATACTTATCCTGCGACTGCAACATTTTCGCCCGTTTTCGGGAAAACAAAAACACTTGTTGTTTGCATTATCGTATTTTCACTTAAATCATACTATTTTCAATGATACTCGCGTATTTTAGTTTTGCTAGTCTATATTTTAAAATCGTAATTCTGAAATTTTCGAACTGTCTGAAAGGCCGTCTGGACAGACAGAATTCGTCCAGATTGTTTTTAGATCGCTGTATTTTCGCCCCATTTCTCAAAAATACAAGTCATTGAAAATGACACAGTCCCCGTAAAATTTTTGAAAGTTCTCTTTGTGTTCGTCATATTAAAGCGAGGAGAGGGGGGGGGGGGGGTTGTCGCGAGCGTGTCCTTGAAACTTGAGCTCCAAGTGGCATATACAACAGATTGTTTATTTACATCAAAACACTTGTTCCATGTAGTAGTAATATGGCCAAAAATAAAAACAGCCGTTATTCGGCCATCTTTGATCTGATTATGAAACACACTGATATGTATGATGTATGTGCCAAATAGGAATGAAAATGATACATAAATTGTGGAAATATAGTAGTAAGGCCAAAAAGTCAGATTGCTGTCAATCGGTCATCCTTGACCAGATTTTGAAACAAATTGTCATGGACATGCATCCTAACATGTATAAAGTACATGTATGTGCCAAATTTGAATGAAAACTGACAGAGCATGTCCAAGATACCGCATAAAAAAACAAAAACAAGATGCCTGCCGGTCAACCATCTTTGATCCAATTGCAAAATAAATTGTCATGGACATGTATCCTAACATGTATAATGTATGTACCAAGTTTGAATGACAACTGACAAAGCATGTCCAAAATACAACATTTTCAAAAAACAAGATGGCTGCCAGTCGGCCATTTTGAATCAAAACGCTAAACCACTGCATGTGCATATGTCCCACATAAGGTACTCGGCACATGCAAAGAATGAACGAAATCAGTCCACAGGATTCTGAAATATGACTCTGAACATACTGACACATGGACGGACAGATACATGGACGGACAGACTCAGGAACTCACGGACGGTCGGTGGACATGTATCCTAACATGTACCGTAAAAGCTCAATCAATTCGGCCACTCAAATAGTTCGGCCACCTATTTTTTGCGTCATGGTTAATTTTAAAATGTATCCGTTTAGTTCAGCCATCTGTCCAGTCAGTCTATTGTTTGTATTCAATTAGTTCGCCCGGTGATGACACCGCCCGATTTTTACGCCACTCTCTCAACAAAGGTATATTTTCACACATCTATCACGTAAATACAATGTACATGTAAAAGCATTTACATCCAAGGTATAAGCAATCGGGATATCCGCCAGATGTGCAGTCATGGTGTCAACCGTGGTTGTACAAAAGACGTGTGAAATCTCTAGTACGTCCATCACGTCCATGGTGAAATATACTTTGTTGATTGTCATTACAAATTACCCAGTACATCAGTTGTAAATAATCGCTAAGAAAATTCTCATCACAACGCCAAAAATATCGACAACGAACAAATACTTTAAGTCATTGCTAGCAATCACTGACGAAACGAAGCTCCATGGTTTAGGGACAACAAAATTCAGGCCGACACTTGACTCTCG